CGTCGTTGTTTGGCGGGTCCAGGCTGGGGATTCGAACCCGCCACCTTAGGTGTACGTGGCTGGCGCCTTAGCCGGTTGAGCTATAGGCGCCGAGCCTGTTCTGCAAGTTTTGACAAACATATCTGGCTATTAAACACTACCACTACCAAGATAAAACAGTTTATCACTCGTGGGTCACCTGTGCCCCCTTCAAATGCAGTTGTGAGGACCCTTCTGTCCGCCACATGAGGAACTGACCAGGAGGGTACTGGTGAGGAAGAGGGATTCACCTGACCCCCTCAAGGTGCTCTGAGGATGAGGAGCCAATGAGGTGATCCGGAAGAAGCCTCCTGCCTTGCTGCCCTGCATACAAACAGTTCTATAACATGTCCCTCTGTCCCTGCAGTCCTGAAATCTCAGAATCTCAAAGTGCTCCCCCTGTCCTAGACCCATCTTGCTGCCATCCTCTAGCCTCACAAGAGGTCTCCACATGTCCCCTCCTGTCAGGCTGTACCACAAGCCAGACTTTGGCTATAAGGAATGGCAAGCATGTGTTAATAGTAGATTTCTAGTGCTTGTTTTAGCAGCACATATTCTAAAATTATAATGATACAGAGAAGATCAGCATGACCCTGCTAAGGATGACATGCAAAGTTGTGAAGCATTCCATATTTTTTAAAAAATAGACTTGGCTTGGTTCCTGTAGCTCAAGCGGCTAAGGCACCAGCCACATACACCAGAGCTGGTGGGTTCAAATCCAGCCCGGGCCTGCCAAATAATAATGACAGCTACAACCAAAAAATAGCCGGGTGTTAAGGCAGGCGCCTACTGTCCCAGCTACATGGGAGGCTGAGGCAAAAGAATTGCTTAAGCCCAGGAGCTGGAGGTTGCTGTGAGCTGTGATACCACGGCACTCTACCCAGGGCGACAGCTTGAGGCTCTGTGTCAAAAATAAAAAAAAAAAAAAGATTTGTAGGTAGCAACAGATAGCATGGGTGGGGAGATAAATGGGGTATTCTCATTTGTAATCTTGAATATCCTTTTCCCACATTCCTACTGGCAAATTCCTATTCATCCTTTAAAGTTCAGGTCAAATATCCCGCACTTTGAGAGGCCTTCCCCTACCCCAGCCAAGGCTAGGTCAGGGACCACTCCTTGGATCCCACAGCCTCTCTGAGTATCATCTGGGAGGGACAGGGTCTTGCTCATCTGTAGCAACCCGTATAGCCTATGGCTAGGAGGAGTGAGCGTTATAGGAAATACCTGTAATGGAACACCTCGGTGAAAAGGGCATGGAGAGAGATTTAGTTCTAACTAGTATGAGAGAGCTTGCGAGATGAGAGCATTGGTGAATTGGCAGTCTCTAACTTGTGGTGTTGAGAACCACATCAGCCTTATATTAGGCTGAAGGAGAAGGCAGATAAAAAGCATGCACATTCTGTCACAGATCCGCTTACTCCTACTCTGTCTCCTCTCCTGCCTGCAGAAGGCCAGCAGGGCGTCTCTCTGCTGAAAATTACCAAGCTCTGCTAAAGACTAAGATCCATCTGTTCTAAGAAGACTGCTTTACTCTCTCTAAGATACTCTGTCTCTCTCTCTCCAGCTAGAGTAGATAGCCCTCAAGCACCAAAAAGAAACTGTTCCTGAGCAAGGTAGCTTAGTGGTCCACGTCCAGAACGTACCTAAGCTGGGCCCAGGACCGGGCCAGTCCCAGGCCCTGACAAGTGGTATCAGAAGCAGATCCTGACAAGTGGTGCCAGAAGTGGGATAGTGAACGCCACTGACAAGTGGTCCTTTGAGCAGGATTCAGCGAATGCTGACCAAGAGGGAGATAAGGTTTAGCAGACAAGAAAAAAAGAGAAATAGAAATACTTGGAAAAGAAATATCTAAGAAAGACAGCCAACAGCAGGCCTTTCTCATTTGCTGTTTTCCTCTTCTTTCCTACGTTTTCTCTTTCCAAATTCTAACTACTACTGTGGAAAAGCTGGTAAAATCCTTTAGCCTCTTCTGTGAAGCGGCTGGAGACAGAAAAAAGCCTCTAAACAAAAGGGAAAGAGAAAATCTAGAACTAGGAGATAAGAACTTTTAGCAAACAAGCCTTTAGCCTCGGGGTGAGAAAAGCCTTCGGTAAAACAGCAAAGAGAAAAGTTTGGAATAGGTTGCAAGAGTTTATTAAGTTAGGGAAGAGAATTTCTAACTGCCTTTCCCATATATCTTCGCCCAATGCCAGTAGGAAGTAGCTTTTGAGAGACCAATGCCTGATTCCCTTTGGCAGTTAAGAGTTCGGTTTAAAATGAAAATTGAGGTAGATTGAGGCTGGTGAAGAAATAGAGGAAGTGGAGTTTTGTAAAACAACTAAGACTCCAGAGTAAAAGGAAACAGCTAAAGAGCTCCTGTCCCTTTAAGGCAGCCAAAGGTTCTAAGAATTGAAAAAGAAAGATTGTAAAAAGTAGAAGGGGGGACAGTGAGAAAAATCATGGAAAATGAGATACAGCAGTTGAACTACAGTTGAGAGATTGGATGAATCTTGTAGAAGCAGGTAAGCGCTGTATTGACATGACAACTCAAATTGGGCAGCTGGAAGATCAAAGGGTAAATCCTCCAGTTAACACCAAATGCCATAAATGTGGGAAGCAAGGCCCTAAGAGAAAAGAGTTTGAAAGGGGAAAGAATGTTGAATGCTAAAGAAAAGAAACAAAGAGCGTGTAAACCTCCAGGTGTATGTCCCAAGTGTAAAAAAGGCTTTCACTGGGCAAACAAATGCCGTTATCAATTTGATAGAGATGGAACACCTTTATTGTATGGAAATTATCTGTTGAGCCAGAATCGGGACCCACTGGTAAATGAAAGAAAAAACAGTTTAATATTTTCATGTCAAACCATTCTCAGAAAAAACAGTATAATTCAATTCTCTGCCACGGGAGCACTCTGCCAGCTTGGTTAGACCTGTGGTGCCTCAGCGTAAAACTGGGGAAATTAAACCAGACCAATGGATGACAATGGAGAATAATTAGATTAAATATGTTTGTGGAATATTAGATTATCCTGCGTGATGAAGGGGTAACCGATCTCTCATCAGTGTCTGTGTACTATAACTGGGTCCAGGTAAGGAGACTGGACACAGCCCAAAGGGGAAGTGTCACTCGGAAGCAAGTGAAGCCTTTGGAAGATTATGAGAGGTGAGAATAAAGGGAGGGAAGAGTAAGAGTTAAACCACCTTTGTGCTAGGAAACTCCATTTGAAAAAGGAATCTGGAATCAATTTGCAAAAATGTTGCTGGACAAGCAGCTTGAAAGCAGGAAAAACTCTGCTATCAAGGAATTGTGAATAAGGGTGGTACTTTTTGGACCACGAGTAACAGTTCCACAAGAGGAACTGCCAAGTGTGGAACCATTAATCCACCAGTAACAGTCTTTTGTGATCTGTGAAGGGTGGATTTTAGTACCTTGAGTAGCAAAACCTTTGGAATAGGGAGAGAAAAGTCCTTGCTTGCAAAGATTGCAGGAAAAGCGTTATCTTTTGTTTGTCCGTTAAGTAAATATCAAAGGAAAGTTCCTACAGTTAAAGAAATGGTAAATTCTCTCAGGAAAGATTTCACAGTTTTCTTCCTTTAAAAAGACCTTTAAGGGAATTAACATCACAATCATCATTTCCCCCTAGCAGCGGCTAATAGTTTACATCAATATTGGGCTTCCTCATTTAAAGAGCCCATACCTGGAATTCTGAACTCTGATAATTACCATCTTTTGCCTAGAAAGAAAAAGGGCTAGATAACAGGAAGAACTGCCGTTACCACATTAAAAGTTATTTTGTTTGTATATAAAAAGGGGGGGAAATATAGCAGCCAGTATAGCCTATGGCTAGGAGGAGTGAGAGTTATAGGAAATAACTGTAATGGAACACCTTGGTGAAAAGGGCATGGAGACTAGTATGAGAGAGCTCGCGAGATGAGAGCATTGGTGAATTGGCAGTCTCTACACCTGTGGTGTTGAGAAGCATGAGATCAGCCTTATATTAGGCTGGAGGAGAAGGCAGATAAAAAGCATGTGCATTCTGTCACAGATCCACTTACTCCTACTCTGTCTCCTCTCCTGCCTGCAGAAGGCCAGTACGGTGTCTCTCTGCTGAAGATTACTAAGCTCTGCTAAAGACTAAGATCTATCTGTTCTAAGAAGACTGCTTTACTCTAAAATACTCTGTCTCTCTCTCTCTCTCTCCAGCTAGAGTAAATAGCCCTCAAGCACCAAAAAGAAACTGTTCCTGACCAAGGTAGCTTAGTGGTCCACATCCAGATACCTAAGCTGGGCCTGAGACCTGGCCAGTCCCGGGCCCTGACGAGTGGTATCAGAAGCAGATCCTGACACTCATCTCTGTCCATTTTACAGAATGGGCAACTGAGACCAACTTGCAGTCACACAGCACATGCAGGGTGAGAGTCTTGGAGGGAGGCTCAGGCCTGTGGCTCAGCGGGTAGGGCGTGGGCCACATACACCTAAGCAGGTGGGTTCAAACCTAGCCTGGGCCTCCTAAACAACAGTGACAACTGCAACAAAAAAATAGCCAGGTGTTGTGGCAGGTGTCTGCAGTCTCAGCTACTTGGGAGGCTGAGGCAAGAGAATCACTTAAACCCAAGAGTTAAAGGTTGCTGTGAGCTGTGACGCCATAGCACTCTACTGAGGGTGACCAAGTGAGACTCTGTCTCAAAAAAAAAAAAAAATCTAGAGGGTGAGAGCACAGACCTTGGAGCAGCCAAATCTCTCTTCTACCTTGGACTTCTCTGACCTTGGGCCCATTGTGTCACACTCTGAGCCTAGGTTTCCTCTGTAACGTGGCAGTAAAGGTTTGGACTGCTCAGGGTTTTTTTCTTCATTGAATGGGCTTCCCCATCTTTGATGAGATTTAATGAACATACCATAAAATTCATCCATTTAAGTGCACAGTTTGGTGATTTTTGACAATTGTATATGGCTGCATAATGGCCACCATAATCATCATGCTTTCAAATTTCCCTCATGCCCTTTTATCCCTTGCTACCACTGACCTGTTCTGTCACTCTGTCACTCTAGTTTTGCCTTTTCCAGAATGTCCTATGAATGGAATCATGTTGAATGTGGCCTTTTTTACCCCTGGCTCCTTTTATTCAGCAGAATGATCTGAGACTCACCAGGTTGTTCCTTTCTTGTCCCTTGATGGATATGCCAGGATTTGTTCATCCATTCCTAAGTTCATAGACATTGGGGTTCTTTTCAGGTTTTAGCTATTAGGAATAAAGCTGCTATTAATATTTGCATACAAGATTTATTTTATGTGGCTCGGTGCCTGTGGCTCAAGTGGCTAAGGCGCCAGCCACGTACACCTAAGGTGGTGGGTTCGAATCCCCAGCCCGGACCCGCCAAACAACAATGATGGCTGCAACCAAAAAATGGCCAGGCGTTGTGGCGGGCGCCTGTAGTCCCAGCTACTTGGGAGGGTGAGGCAGGAGACTCGCTTGAGCCCAGGAGTTGGAGGTTGCTGTGAGCGTGATGCCATGGCACTCTACCCAGGGGGACAGCTTGAGATTCCGTCTCAAAAAAAAAAAAAAGATTTATTTTATGTGTATGAATATAGTTGTCATTTCTCTTGGGAGCTGAATAGCTGAGTCCTATTTTTTTTTTTGGCTGGGGCTGGATTTGAAC